ATATTTTATTTGTTTTATTTTTCAATAAAAATCTGTGTTGTTTTGGTTTTTTCAAAATATTCTTTGTTTTATTTTTTTGTTTTCACTTATCGTTTGTTCTTTTATATTCTTTATATTTCCACCATGGGAATGCACAAGAAAAATAAGCAACCGTTTAGCACAAAGGATGTACTCTTTCTGAATGCCTGAAAATATGCAGCATATTTGACAGCCTGGACATGGATGGATTTCTATGGAACATGGTAAAGCTCTCTGTGATATAAAAAACAATAACTTCATCTCACATTGTGCTCTTCAGTAAAGGATATACCTTCCTTTTACCTCCCAAGGAGAGTAATACAAATCTCATCTATAAGTATGTAAAGGCGCGCACATCTCACACAATAATAAAAATAAATGTATGTGTGTGTTTTCCAAGCTACCGTTGTACTCATGAAATTAAGGGATTTCCATCATCTCTCACCTAAAGAGAATATCTTTTTGAATACTATTACAATGAATACTCTTTTCTTTGTTCCCTTTATGCTATTTTTTCTCTTTATTTTTGTTTGAAATAAAAATCTCAGTTATTTTCGGCCACTGTTTTGAGAAAATGCCGTACACAAGAGACCATTAAATCTCTACACCTAAGAGTAAACATCCAACCAACCACCCACCCACCTTGCCATTATTGCATCCCCCTTTTAAGAAGAAACCATGAAACATCCTTCCATCCAACAACCAACAACCCCCTTAACCACCCTGCAGAATCAGAAAACTCGTGTTAGTTGTTTTGTTATTATTTCATATTTACAATTTATGCCTAGGTGAGTGAGGAATGCTTTGAAAGCTCTCGACGGGGCGTTAGGCATATAAGATGGGGTCGATAAAATAAATATCCACACCTCTTATAGTCCTGTTTTAAAAATACAGCCTCATGAAGTCTTTGACATTTTTTTAAATCCACGCCTCTTGTAGACTTTGAAAAAAATTATCCACGCCTCTTGTAGTCCTTGAAAAAAATTCATTTAAAATCCACGCCTCATATAGTCTTTGAAAAAAAAATTATCCACGCCTCTTGTAGTCCTTGCAAAAAAAATTATCCACGCCTCATATAGTCTTTGAAAAAAATTCATTAAAAATCCACACCTCATATAGTCTTTGAAAAAAAATAAAATATAGTCATTGAAAAAACCTACTTTAAAAAATCTACGCCTTATATAGTCCTTGAAAAAATCTTCTTAAAAAAATCGCCTTATATAGTATATTCATTAAAAAACCCACGTTTTATATAGTCCTTAAAAAAGCTACTTTAAAAAATCCACGCCGAATATAGTCCTTGAAAAATTTTCTTAAAAAATCCACGCCTTATATAGTATTTTAAAACATATCCTTAAAAAATCCACGCTTTATATAGTCATTGAAAAAATCCACGCCTTATATAGTATTTTAAAAAATATCCTTAAAAAATCCCCGCTTTATATAGTCATTGAAAAACCCTACTTTAAAAAATCTACGCCTTATATAGTCCTTGAAAAACCCTACATTAAAAAATCCACGTTAAATATAGTCCTTTAAAAAAGATACTTAAAAAATCCACGCCTAATATAGTCCTTGAAAAAATCTTCTTAAAAAATCCTTAAATATATATCCTTAAAAACATCCACGCTTTATATAGTCATTAAAAAATCCATTCTTTAAAAAATCCACGACTCCTATAGTCCTTGAAAAAGTATTCTTTAAAAAAATCCACGCCTTACATAGTCCTTGAAAAAAATTCCTTTAGAAAATCCACGCCTTATATAGTCCTTGAAAACATTTCCTTTAAAAAATCCATGCCTTATATAATATTTTCAAAAATATCCTTAAAAAATCCCCGCTTTATATAGTCATTGAAAAAACCTACTTTACCTTATACCTTATATAGTCCTTGAAAACCCCTACATTAAAAAATCCACGTTTTATATAGTCCTTTAAAAAAGCTACTTTAAAAAATCCACGCCTAATATAGTCCTTGAAGAAAACATCCTTAAAGAAATCCACGCTTTATATAGTCATTGAAAAAATCCACGCCTTCTATAGTCTTTTAAAAACTATCCTTAAAAAATCCCCGCTTTATATAGTCATTTAAAAAAACCTACTTTAAAAAATCTACGCCTTATATAGTCCTTGAAAACCCCTAATTAAAAAATCCACGTTTAATATAGTCCTTAAAAAAGCTACTTTAAAAATCCACGCCTAATATAGTCCTTGAAAAAATCTTCTTAAAAAATCCACGCCTTATATAGTATTTTAAAAAATATCCTTAAAAAAATCCACGCTTTATATAGTCATTGAAAAAACCTACTTTAAAAAATCCACGCCTCCTATAGTCCTTGAAAAAGTATTCTTTAAAAAATCCACGACTCCTATAGTCCATGAAAAAGTATTCTTTAAAAAAATCCACGCCTTACATAGTCCTTGAAAAAATTTCCTTTAGAAAATGCACGCCTTATATAGTCCTTGAAAACATTTCCTTTAAAAAATCCATAAGGCATGGATTTTTTAAAAGTCCTTGAAAAAAGTATTCTTTAAAAATGCACGTCTTATATAGTCCTTGAAAACATTTCCTTTAAAAAATTCATGTCTTATATAGTCCTTGAAAAAAGTATTCTTTAAAAAATCCACGTCTTATATAGTCCTTAAAAAAAAATATTCTAAAAAATATTCTTTAAGAAATCCTTGAAAAAATATTCTTTAAAAAAACACGCCTTATGTAGGATTTAAAAAATCCAAATAGTTTCTTGAAAAATATCCGGCATTTATTTCACAAATTACCCAAAATAGGAAATTGAAACTTCATCCATTTTTTATTTTTTAATTTACTGTTTACAAAGAATCTATCACAAAAAATCTTGACAGGATGTTGAGGGTTGTTAACCGAGTTGAGGTAACAGTGCACGTTTTTTTTTTCTTTTCAAACAACAACAAGTCGGATTATAAATTTATAATGGGGTTCCCTTTAGAAACCGGCCGGCAAAACAAACCACCACCAAAACATTTGTTGTTAATATAGGCAAAATTGAAATAAGGAGGAACAAGGATAACACCAAACATTCATTAGATTCATTACATTTACCAATGAATTGAAAATAACATCAAAAGTCAACAGTGCAATGAAATGTATGCCCATGTTCGAATTTAATTTTTGGAATATGTGATGATGGAATACCTACAAAATAGATTAATTATAATGAGGAGATTTTCAATGAATATCTGCTTTATTTATTTTAAATTTTTATAAAGGGAGAGTTTTTTTAAGCGGAACTGACTCCCATATCTTTCATTGAAACGCTACTTCATTTTAAATTCAGGCAAGACTTTCCATCGGAATCAGGGGGGTTACTCTGTATTGCGTTGCGAAAGCAAGTGCGATGCGAAAGCTAAATGCGTTAAGAGTACAATTTGGTACTCTGTAACGCTCACGCAAACGCATTCGCAAACTAAGTCGAAAATAGGGCAACACTGTCGCCACAATGTAAACAATAACGAAGAATGACAAAAGGAAACGTCAAAAAATTTTAAATGAAAACATATTTTTGTGTGGTACGAGTGTTTTTTTAAACAAAAATGATGAACGAATTAAAAACAAAAAAAAATAATTTTATGAGATCGATCAAATATATTCTCCCTAAGTGAAACGGGAATATATTAAAATAGAAGTACGAATTATGTGACAAACGTTTTCCAATATTTAATTTTTATAGATTTATACAAAATGTTCGTCTCAATAAAGATTCGTTTATGTATTTATTAAACGCTCGTCTTTCCAAATGGATCCACAACAATTCCAACTCCAATAAAAGAGGCCGCTGCTTTGAAATTGCTTGGACAAGGTGGTTATCAACACCAACCTGTAAATATGCACACATAGTTTCACATTTTATATAAAAAATATAATACATTACTTTTTCCAACCACCGACATCTTTTACAAGAGGTCAATTTGAATTGAGGTCATCAGACAGTTTTGTCCACAAATTGTTGGCGCGTTGTTTCGCATTTGAACTCTGCAACTGTCCCTTTGCCAAATCACTGTGTTGCTCCATAAAATCTACTTAAGTTAGGAATTGACGTTGCTGAGTCTGCAACTGTGACTTTTTTGCCTTTTACTTAAAATAATTTACAATTTATATATAAATAAAAATATTAATTGAGCTTACTTATATGTTTCGCTTCCTTTGCGTTTGCTATTTTGTTAACGCAAGATATTTGCGCTTAACGAACGAGTTTGACATGCGTTTTCGTATTACAGAGTGCGGTGATGCCACATTTGCGTAAACTGGATGCGAAAGGAGATACGAAAACGAATTAGAGTGTACAACACCGTAAATGTCGTGAGCAAACATTGTTTTTTATACTGTCACTATATTACATTAAATGTATTTTAAAAGAACTATTAATTCGTATCGAATTGAAGATGTCAACACTGTTAGAGTTTATTAGTTCAATACGTTTACAGATCTAAAATCAACATATGCTATTGTTTGTTACTAAATATAAAATTGTAATATCTGATAAAAAGAAGTCTCAATAAAGAAAATTGAATTGAAATTGAAACGAATTAGAGAGTACCAATTTCACGATGCGTTAAAATTTTTCTCACGCATCGCAATACAGAGTAACCCCCCAGGACCGCTTTCAATTGATATCCATATTATCTAGTGAAAGGCCTAGGTAAATAGTCCCCGTGGATTTTTTCATGATAAACATTTATGAATTGTACTTTATTTAAAACAACGATATCCTTATAACTACTACAAATTTGGTGTTGAACTCAAAAGGCGTATTAACATGTATTTTTTAACGAAGTTATAGAATTGAAAATTGTTTTTAAATTAAAATAGTTCAATAGAAATTAAGGAGACGAATTAAGGAAACACACATCATGTATACAAAATTTAAACGAGAAAAAAAAATATTTTAATTTGGAATACATAAACTTAACATAGAAAATAATGATAAAATCAAATTACAGAGCTGGTAAATGTTTTATTCTCTGAGACGTAAATCAATAACTTCGCCACCTTCCAAATCTAGATCAGCTGAAGTATCAGAAAGTTCCAAGGATTCACCATCGAAACTGTAAATACAAACGAAATATGTAATTATTTATTTGATAAAAACAAATTTGAAAATCTTTACCTTAGACCAATCTTATCCATTGCAATATCTAATTCCTCCGCACATTTTATATATAAAATACGAAAATGATCAGTCTTCTTTATGTCAATTTGTAGTGGTCTCTTCCATTTATCCGATTGAATTTTCAGACTAATTTGGTTGGCGTTACGTTGTTTTTTGTTAATACCGGGTTTGCCACTGGCTGCCGGGGAATTGAAATTCATTGTTAAAACACGTCCATCTGAAAGAAAAAATATGAACAAAAAATTACAATTTATATTTTTCCAAACTTTTGTTATAAAGGGAGTTTTTCACAGACGAGCTGTGAAGGGAGTCTTTCACAGACGAGCTGAGAAGGGAGTCCTTCATAGACGAGCTGTGAAGGGAGTCTTTCATAACCGAGCTGTGAAGGGAGTCTTTCATAGACGAACTGTGAAGGGAGTCTTTCATAGACGAACTGTGAAGGGAGTCTTTCATAGACGAGCTGTGAAGGGAGTCTTTCACAGACGAGCTGTGAAGGGCGTCTTTCACAGACGAGCTGTGAAGGGAGTCTTTCACAGACGAGCTGTGAAGGGAGTCTTTCATAGACGAGCTATGAAGGGAGTCTTTTATAGACGAGCTATGAAGGGAGTCTTTTATAGACGAGCTCTGAAGGGAGTCTTTCATAGACGAGCTATGAAGTGAGTCGTTCACAGACGAGCTGAAGGGAGTCTTTCATAGACGAGCTGAATGAAATCTTTCATAGACGATCGGAATGAAATATTTCATAGTCGAGCTGAAGTGAGTGATTCATACACCGATCTGAAGTGAGTCAGACAAGCTGAAGTGAGTCATTCATAGACGATCTGAAGTCTTTATAGACGAGCTGAAGGGAGTTTTTATAGACGAGTAGGGAGTCTTTCATAGACGAGCTATGAAGTGAGTCGTTCACAGACGAGCTGAAGGGAGTCTTTCATAGACGAGCTGAATGAAATCTTTCATAGACGATCGGAATGAAATATTTCATAGTCGAGCTGAAGTGAGTGATTCATACACCGATCTGAAGTGAGTCAGACAAGCTGAAGTGAGTCATTCATAGACGATCTGAAGTCTTTATAGACGAGCTGAAGGGAGTTTTTATAGACGAGTAGAAGATATTTGAAAAATGACGAATTTGTTCTTCTGAGTTCTTGATATACTCGCCAAGGGATTTCACCCATTTTTCATTAAAGATTTTTTTACTCCCCATAATCTTGTTGCGCAGTGTTACATGTTTTTACCAAGTACATATTACGCCCTATACGAAGAAGTCCAACCATACTCACTTATAAACTGAAAGAATTTATAGTCAATCGAATCGGGTGTATCATCCGGATTAATAATGCGATCATCCAAATTTAATACAATCTTATCCTGCTCGGCATGTTCACGTTCAGCCAATTTTTGAAATATCACAGCGAACTTTTGATATTTACGAAGTTTAAATGCTTCGGGTTTGCCATTCCATTTAATTTTCACCGATATCTCGGGATTATCTTCTTCAATGGAAATATCCAACGAGGAATGAGTTTCAATGGGTTTTTTCCTACCCAAACTCATGGGCTGAAGGTTATCGAATTCACCATCCGAATCCAAGGAAATTGTTCCCTCTACATGAGGTACTGGACTGGATATTAAATCGACAAAATCCACTTGAGGAGAACGTGCAGCAATTTCTGCCATTTGATTTCGTCGAGAACGTGTCGATTGCACTGTACTCCTTGTTTGACGGCCACGCCCGCGCGCCACAGCTAAAAATCTTTCCATAATAGATGGTTCCTGTATGGGTGTTGGGGTATAAATTGGAGATTGAGTGACTAACTCTTGCATAGATTGTGGTACATATTCCTCATCCGAAACGTCGGTGTTATTAGAACAGCTATTGTCATTTGGTAAATCTTCTGCAACGGCATTACGACCACCACCACGTCCTCGCCCCCGACCACGTCCTCTCCCTCTACCACGTCCTTTGTTTTTACTAGCATTTTCCTTATCTCTTCTTTCGGCTTCCGCAGCAGCTTTGGCATTTTCTTCGGCAAGTTTGCGGATAGCATCAAAACATCTTCTGGTTACTCTGGCGGGTAAGACGACTGTCGGCTGTTCCGGCACAGATGGCATAACATCACTACGACCAGCATTTTTATCAAAATTAACTAAACAATCAATAGTTGGTGACAAGGACCTCTCTGAAGATGAAGTGGATCTTCGTTGAATAGATCTGCGACCTTTTTTCTTTCCCTTATCTTTGGTGGCATCCTTCTCTTCAGTTCCATGACCATTTTTCAATTTGTTTTCGATATTATTTTCAATGGACAAAACGTCATTCTTTTTCCTACGCTTTGAAGGGCTTTTCTTAGTGGTATTATTGTTCAGCATGGATTCGAAATCATCATTATCCAAATCGCTATGATCTCCATCGCTGGCGAGAGGGTTCTTTGAATCGTTGGCGCTATTTGTTTTCTCAAGCGTTTTTAGTTTATCCAAAAGATTGACTGCAATAAAATTTGGAATGATATTTTAAAGGTAATGAAGATTTGTTTCGAGTGTTCCATCACTTACCATTTTTAAGGGCATCTAAATTCCCAAATATATTGAATTGACCACTCATCGTTGCTAACTTTATTACGATTCCATTACAGCAGCTGCGAACAAAGCCAATCTTGTTTGGGTTTGCAACATAATACCCAGTCGAAGCTAATATATTAACGGCGTTAGATTTTGCAAAATGCGGCAAGGCGGCTAGATATGTTAAATAGTATGTAATAGCTGTGTCTGTTTACTAGATGTTTGGTAACAATTGTTACCAAATGTTACTAAATGTCTGTTTACCCAAAAAACCAGTAAAAAAAAGACAGCAAGTTTGACAGTTCAACAACAACAAACTTACTGGAGTTTACTGAAAGAATTTTATGCAGTAAGATTTTTCAAACTCAGTCATTTTGGATCAGCTGTTTTATGACCACACACAAAAATTATTCAAAACATTTTTTTTTTAATTTGCAAAGTTCAATTTGAAAATAAGTTGTATAATTACAGAAAATTGGAAGAAAATTTGTAAGTAATGCAAAGTTGCATTAAATTAGAAACTAATTCTTTATATTTTTTAGGCAACTTCCAGAAGCAGGGCAATGTATTGATGCAGGAAGCTTAAATGTTCCTGGGGAACATACCAAATCAATTGATCATTTTATTTTTAATATTAAATGCAATACAAATAATTGTGTTCGGCCTTTGTTTATTTTGGCGCAAATAAAAATTTTTTCTTGAATCAGAAGTTGAGTCTTTATAGACACGAGCTGAAGGGAGTCTTTATAGACACGAGCTGAAGGGAGTCTTTATAGACACGAGCTGAAGGGAGTCTTTATAGACACGAGCTGAAGGGAGTCTTTATAGACACGAGCTGAAGGGAGTCTTTATAGACACGAGCTGAAGGGAGTCTTTATAGACACGAGCTGAAGGGAGTCTTTATAGACACGAGCTGAAGGGAGTCTTTATAGACACGAGCTGAAGGGAGTCTTTATAGACACGAGCTGAAGGGAGTCTTTATAGACACGAGCTGAAGGGAGTCTTTATAGACACGAGCTGAAGGGAGTCTTTATAGACACGAGCTGAAGGGAGTCTTTATAGACACGAGCTGAAGGGAGTCTTTATAGACACGAGCTGAAGGGAGTCTTTATAGACACGAGCTGAAGGGAGTCTTTATAGACACGAGCTGAAGGGAGTCTTTATAGACACGAGCTGAAGGGAGTCTTTATAGACACGAGCTGAAGGGAGTCTTTATAGACACGAGCTGAAGGGAGTCTTTATAGACACGAGCTGAAGGGAGTCTTTATAGACACGAGCTGAAGGGAGTCTTTATAGACACGAGCTGAAGGGAGTCTTTATAGACACGAGCTGAAGGGAGTCTTTATAGACACGAGCTGAAGGGAGTCTTTATAGACACGAGCTGAAGGGAGTCTTTATAGACACGAGCTGCTGGGAGTCTTTATAGACACGAGCTGAAGGGAGTCTTTATAGACACGAGCTGAAGGGAGTCTTTATAGACACGAGCTGAAGGGAGTCTTTATAGACACGAGCTGAAGGGAGTCTTTATAGACACGAGCTGAAGGGAGTCTTTATAGACACGAGCTGAAGGGAGTCTTTATAGACACGAGCTGAAGGGAGTCTTTATAGACACGAGCTGAAGGGAGTCTTTATAGACACGAGCTGAAGGGAGTCTTTATAGACACGAGCTGAAGGGAGTCTTTATAGACACGAGCTGAAGGGAGTCTTTATAGACACGAGCTGAAGGGAGTCTTTATAGACACGAGCTGAAGGGAGTCTTTATAGACACGAGCTGAAGGGAGTCTTTATAGACACGAGCTGAAGGGAGTCTTTATAGACACGAGCTGAAGGGAGTCTTTATAGACACGAGCTGAAGGGAGTCTTTATAGACACGAGCTGAAGGGAGTCTTTATAGACACGAGCTGAAGGGAGTCTTTATAGACACGAGCTGAAGGGAGTCTTTATAGACACGAGCTGAAGGGAGTCTTTATAGACACGAGCTGAAGGGAGTCTTTATAGACACGAGCTGAAGGGAGTCTTTATAGACACGAGCTGAAGGGAGTCTTTATAGACACGAGCTGAAGGGAGTCTTTATAGACACGAGCTGAAGGGAGTCTTTATAGAGTCTTTATAGACGAGCTGAAGGGAGTCTTTATAGACGAGCTGAAGGGAGTCTTTATAGACGAGCTGAAGGGAGTCTTTATAGACGAGCTGAAGGGAGTCTTTATAGACGAGCTGAAGGGAGTCTTTATAGACGAGCTGAAGGGAGTCTTTATAGACGAGCTTTATAGATCAGCTGAAAGTAGTCTTTATAGACGAGCTGAAGGGACGAGCTGAAGGAAGTCTGTATAGACGAGCTGAAGGGAGTCTTTATAGACGAGCTGAAGGAAGTCTTTATAGACGAGCTGAAGGGAGTCTTTATAGACGAGCTGTAGGGAGTCTTTATAGACAAGCTGAAGGGAGTCTTTATAGACGAGCTGAAGGTAGTCTTTATAGACGAGCTGAAGGGAGTCTTTATAGACGAGCTGAAGGGCGTCTTTATAGACGAGCTGAAAGGAGTCTTTATAGACGAGCTGAAGGGCGTCTTTATAGACGAGCTGAAAGGAGTCTTTATAGACGAGCTGAAGGGAGTCTTTATAGACGAGCTGAAGGGAGTCTTTATAGACGAGCTGAAGGGAGTCTTTACGTCTTTATAGACGAGCTGAAGGAAGTCTTTATAGACGAGCTGAAGGGAGTCTTTATAGACGAGCTGAAGGAAGTCTTTATAGACGAGCTGAAGGGAGTCTTTATAGACGAGCTGTAGGGAGTCTTTATAGACAAGCTGAAGGGAGTCTTTATAGACGAGCTGAAGGGAGTCTTTATAGACGAGCTGAAGGGAGTCTTTATAGACAAGCTGAAGGTAGTCTTTATAGACGAGCTGAAGGGAGTCTTTATAGACGAGCTGAAGGGCGTCTTTATAGACGAGCTGAAGGGAGTCTTTATAGACGAGCTGAAGGAATTTTTTATAGACGAGCTGAAGGGAGTCTTTATAGACGAGCTGAAGGGAGTCTTTATAGACGAGCTGAAGGGAGTCTTTATAGACGAGCTGAAGGCAGTGTTTATAGACGAGCTGAAGGGAGTCTTTGTAGACACGAGAAGTATAAAAGAACTGATGGAAATATATAAGAACTGATGGAAGTATATACAATCTGAAGGAGGTCTTTACTAGCAAAAGCAGATACAAGTGGACGTTACCTGTCTTCATATACGAACTGAATGACAAGAATATTTATAGACAAGCGGCAACAGGGAGTTTGAAGCCTTTATAAATAAACTTAAATCAAGTAATAAATTTTAGACGCATGAGAGAGAAAATATATACAAATTATAAAATTACAAGAATGTATTTTGTGTTAGTTAGTTTATACCATGGTACAATGATTACAAGGTAGGGCAGCTTGAGGTGAATAACATAAAATCAACTATGCACGTGTGGCCTCTTCTGCCAAAAATAAAATAAATATACGCAACAAGTGTTGGTGTTTATTTGACATTTTTTCTACACAAAACTAAAATCGCGAAAAATGAATAAAAGGTTATGATTTCTTCCCAAAATCCAGTAGGGAATACCATAAAATGCTTGTTTCATCCATAACAAATTAATTACTTCCAGACGAACGTGTTAAAAACATTATTTTCATTTCAATTAAAATTGAATACATTTCAATTTATTTTGAATTTTTTGACATTGTATTCAAAACAATACACACACATACACAATATATGTATTTTGATTTGATGGAACCAGCCATCTTGAAAAAAATTGTAATCAGTTGGTAGCTGTGCCCTACCTTGTAATTATTATACCATGGTTTATACGATATTTTGAATACTATTATTATGGATATTATGTTCTATGTGGTTGTCAAGACAAAAATTTAGTATGACATGTTGGGCTTAACATAAAATTTCCGATTCATTTTAGTGATTTTTAATGTTAACCTCATGTCAGAGGTTATAAAAAGTTCGATCCGATCGAACGTAACGAAGTTATTGCTGGTTAGATATAGCTCAGATTTACTGGTCGCCTCCATAAAAGTTATTGAAGTGAGTCAACTAAGCCTGAAAAACTTGTTGAAGTGCTCCATTCGAATACAGTCGAGACCCTAACGACCAAACTTAGACCTGAAATTAGGATATTTGGCATTTTCTTTTTAGCCCCATCAGTCGTGGGATCATAGCCACTCGGTCATTTCCTCCGAGTCTACCTTTATCTGTAATCTGTAGACGTGTCCGTTAGCATTGAGCTCAGCCCAGGGGGGTTACTCTGTATTGCGTTGCGAAAGCAAGTGCGATGCGAAAGCTAAATGCGTTATGAGTACAATTTGGTACTCTGTAACGCTCACGCAAACGCATTCGCAAACTAAATCGAAAATAGGGCAACACTGTCGCCACAAAGTAAACAATAACGAAGAATGACAAAAGGAAACGTCAAAAATTTTTAAATGAAAACATATTTTTGTGTGGTACGAGTGTTTTTTTAAACAAAAATGATGAACGAATTAAAAACAAAAAAAATAATTTTATGAGATCGATAAAATATATTCTCCCTAAGTGAAATAGGGAGAATATATAAGTAAAATAGAAGTACGAATTATGTGACAAACGTTTTCCAATATTTAATTTTTATAGATTTATACAAAATGTTCGTCTCAATAAAGATTCGTTTATGTATTTATTAAACGCTCGTCTTTCCAAATGGATCCACAACAATTCCAACTCCAATAAAAGAGGCCGCTGCTTTGAAATTGCTTGGACAAGGTGGTTATCAACACCAACCTGTAAATATGCACACATAGTTTCACATTTTATATAAAAAAATATAATACATTACTTTTTCCAACCACCGACATCTTTTACAAGAGGTCAATTTGAATTGAGGTCATCAGACAGTTTTGTCCACAAATTGTTGGCGCGTTGTTTCGCATTTGAACTCTGCAACTGTCCCTTTGCCAAATCACTGTGTTGCTCCATAAAATCTACTTAAGTTAGGAATTGACGTTGCTGAGTCTGCAGCTCTGACTTTTTTGCCTTTTACTTAAAATAATTTACAATTTATATATAAATAAAAATATTAATTGAGCTTACTTATATGTTTCGCTTCCTTTGCGTTTGCTATTTTGTTAACGCAAGATATTTGCGCTTAACGAACGAGTTTGACATGCGTTTTCGTATTACAGAGTGCGGTGATGCCACATTTGCGTAAACTGGATGCGAAAGGAGATACGAAAACGAATTAGAGAGTACCAATTACGCGATGCGTTACAATTTTTCTCACGCATCGCAATACAGAGTAACCCCCCAGCCTTCGGATAGACTCCACATAACCCAACGAAGGCTTAATATTCCAAAGTTCCCTCTATGTATATTGGGTGCGGTAGTTTCATAGTGTAAATATTGCAATCTGATTAAATTTTTTTCTCAAATACATATTTTTTGAATATGTTTGTATTGTTTTGAATATGAATGAAATTAAAACTATTTCTACACAACAACCTGTTGCGTATATTTATTAGAAGCCACTACATACAGTCGAGTCTTTTCTTAGTCACCTAAAATTATCATACTTTGTGGTATTGTACCATGCGTCGTTCTGGAACACTCGATCGGTAGCATTTCTTATATCTAATAGAAGCTCTACTCAGGCTGATCATTAAGGCGATTTTAGGCTATATATTTTATCGTGCATTCTCTCGATTTAATTGCTAAATCCAGTTGAATTTACTTCGATATATCATACAAAATTAAATCCACTAGCTATAACTTTGATCAAATCAGCAAGATTTATAATGAGAAACCGAGAAGTATCTCCGTTCGAAATATAAAGTTAATGAAGTGGAATACTATCGGAAGAGGAGACGGAAACGATTGAACGTGTAATCTAAATGATTGTTATACCATAGACAGACGACAGCCTTAATTTGCATTAAAAATTTCTTAATTTGAATTAATATTTACCCCTGACAGACGAGAGTTTCTGCATTTACGAAACAGTTTTTTGCTTCAAAACAATTGTTTGTCTGTGTGTAAGATGAACATTTTTTACATTTGTTTCGATATTTTTCGGGATTACATCTTTAGGAAATAGATACATGACATAAGGGAGGAATAGCAACTATTATCTTAGCAAAACAGCTCCCAATTTTGAAAATTGTTGAAATTTGCCTTCATTTCTTATTTTTATTTTCATAAATATAAATAAATTTGACAAGAAACAATTAATTTTCGACAGCATTGCCATATTGAAATTGCCTAATTCAGTATAAATTCAGTTGGATTTTGTGCATTAACAACACATAAAAATGAGGATAATGTACGAGTTAATTTGAATTTAGGCTGTTAATGCAAATTAAGGCTGCCGTCTGTCTAGGCTATTAGATTTGAGATAGAGAGTCTAAACTTTTTTAATTATATTTATTACAATTTTGGCAACCAAGTCTTAAATGCCGTTACAGAAACAAATTTAACTTCTCTTCGTGATAGATCTCAAAATCAGCTATGCTCAAACCTTGTCATGGCGGAATTATCAACTTTAACCTTTTCCTTCTCTTTCTCTACAACGTATTTTAGGATAATCACAATGGACCAATGGTTTCCAAGTGGACGGACTGCTATCGGGCAGTCGCTGATCTTCTACCATAACCTTCTCAGTATGTTTATTACCAAAAATAATCAAAATCAGTCAAACTTTAGGCATAAGCTACACATATACAGTATTTTGAGAATTTGAGAATGTTTTCTAATCGATGTGCCTATATTATTTATGCTTTATATTCCTCGGCGTGAAACTGCCAATTTTTGAAATATCACAGCGAACTTCTGATATTTACGAAGTATAAATGCTTCGGGTTTGCCATTCCATTTAATTTTTACCGATATCTTGAGATTATATTCTTCATTCTTCTTCATTCCAACGAGGAATGAGTTTCAATGGGTTTTTTCCTACCTAAACTCACGGCCTGAAGGTTATCGAATTCACCATCCGAATCCAAGGAAATTGTTCCCTCAACATAAGGCACTGGACTGGATACTAAGTCAACAAAATCCATTTTGGTAGAACGCTCATCGCTTATCTTCTAGCCTAACCTTCTTGGTATGTTTACTACTAAAACTAAGCTCCACATTTTCAGTATTTTGAGGGTTTTCGGACATGTTTTCCAATTGAACGGACTATATTCCTTATATTTTGGATTATGATTGTATAGGATATTTCCGATTCTTCCCGGCCCACATTAGGTTTCCAAAATCTCTTAAAATATATACCAATGTGAACACACCTTGTTCTAAATCACTGCTCTCAAATACCAAATACTAGCAGCGACAACACTAGTAACCATAATCTAGCGCTATTTGGTAATCACTTCATTCCGTTTTTTCATTCCTAACTTAATTTGACGTCTCGACATTTTTTGTTGTTTGTTGTGTCTTTTTTTTCAGTTAATTAATTAATTAATTAAAGAGATTATAGTGAACTTTTCCGAACTAACCAAATACACGGAGTGGATAACGGAACCGCAATGACCACTTCCATTGTTGAAGTTATACAACATTATCAGCGTAGCATTGATAATAGCCAAGACAATGAGGCCAGGGTAAGTAGTTGTCGCAACCAGAAAAAACAAAACGAAAAACTTCAACCAAAAAAAAGTTGTCTCTTCCCTGGCGATGCCATATGACGTTGGAGACGTATGCAGAAATTTTGGAATCCCAAAATGCCAATGAAAAGAACAACAACAACACATCGGAAAATGTCATTGCATTGTGAAATTATGAACAAAAAAGAAAAAGAATGAATGACAGACATATGATGTATGGCGTCTAGTAGTCTATTTTTATTCCAGTATATATTATCATCTATTTTAATTTGATCCATTAGGGGAATATCCGTATAAACAGCAAGGTGTCAGTTTTCTTGTGTGCTGTCATTTGTTAAAAAAGAAAGGTGGAAAGAAAGAATTAAAGAATATGTCTGAAATGGTCCAAAAGAAATGCAAACAACACCACCAACAACAAGAGCAGCAGAAAGAAAGCGAAAGCAACGATAAATTTGATTACAACAACAACCTGAGTGATGTCCCATGAAACTAACAGATGTTTTTATTTACACTCGTGTTGTTGTTGCAGATGTTGTTGCGCTATTTGTATTCGTATGCGTGTGTGTTTGTGTTTTTGCTACATATGCTGATTGTTGTTGTGTGGTAGAGGATTAGCATAGAATTTCTTTAGAAAGGCCGCAATATACTTAAGATATTTACCCTTCAATATGGCACTGTATTTTGATTTAGGATTCTCGCTAGGTTCTGCTGTGACATGTTCGTATCATTAGTATTGTGGAAAGTCCCTATTTTGTTTTAATTTTAATGGCTAAACGATCCGATATCTTAGATTTTTTTGGAAATATAGTTTTTAATTGTGGGACGTTCCTGGATATTTGAACCGGATTTCCGGTTACAAGGTTCTCCGGAACCAATGGTATTAAAATTTGTATCTTTTTTGAAAACTTTTTTTTTTTTTTTTGAAAACTCCCTAAAACGGCACTTACATTAGAACTTTTTGCAGGGTTAAACTACTTTATGAGGATTTATTCGACAAATAGGCAATGGGACTGACAATTAAAACCCTCTGGGTTAACTAAATCCGGGTACAATGTAAACATACTTGGTCTGTTCCCGTACTGCAATAATCTACTATTTTTTACTATTTTCTTCGATATCATAAAGGAAAAATGGTTATCGTAGTAAAAAAAATTACATTCTTGCAGGTTCTGGAACAGACCAAATATATAATTCAAAAAAAAAAAAAAAAAAACTGCACTTTGAGCATAAAAAAATGAGTCAATATTTGTACCAATTTTGGCTCAAAAGTTATGAGCTATAGAACCCTAGATTACTGTTCTCCATAGGAGAACGTCTTTAATGAAAAGTTTGAGAAGCACTCTTGCCGTCACTTGATGCTAACACAATAAATCGGCTATATTTTCAATATTTGTTGATATTTTTATATTTAAAAGGGCATACTGTTTAGCCAGTCTTGACATTTGCCCATAGAATAAAGCTCTGAATCCCCGGCCGAAGACCGAACACCATGGGAAGACCGAACACCATGGGAAGACCGAACACCATGGGAAACTTGGTATCGCCATAAATAAAACTAATGATATCAGTTTTGAAATTCGGAGAAGAATAGTGTTGGCCAACAGATGCTGCTATGTACTGAGTAAGCAACTCAAAGCTAGACCACCTCCCGCCAGACCAAATTCACACTCTGCAAGACGCTGATACTACCCGTGCTATTATATAGATCTGAAGCATGGGTACTTACGCAAGCAGATGAGGCAGCTCTTGGAGTGTTTGAGAGAAAAATTCTCCGAAAGATCTATGGACCGATCTACGTTGAAGGTGAATATCGCCGTCGAATGAACCATGAACTGTACCAGCTATTATCGGACATCGGCATTGTTAGACGTGTTGAGCTGCAGCGACTACGTTGGCTAGGCCATGTTGTGAGAATGGATGAAGATGCCCAAGCCCAAAAGGCATATAAAAGCGAACCATCTGATGGTTCACGCAGAAGGGGAAAGCCACGAATAAAATGAAAAGATCAAGTTGAAGACAACATTGCCGAATATGATCTTTTAAACTGGCTAAGCTCGGCTTATGAAACGAAAGTTCTGTCACAAATATGGATTCTCTGGAAATATGAATTTCAATCAGGTTCCCTAGGGCTATCTGTTTTTACCACATATCGCACCATTTTGGAAAGCTCAACATGTAGTGTTTCATTTGGGCCTGGATTGATGACAGACTATAGTAGACTCTTTATCAAATTTTATCACAACCAAAAATCGGGTCTAAAAATCGACATTTTGATTGCATATCCCAAACGGTTTGAGATAACCCCATAAGCAATATTAATCTTATAGGTTCCGTAGAACCGAATATAATTCGATTCCAGCACCCGAACTTTGGGTAAAAACTCGGGTGTTCGTTTGGAAAATGCACCAAAATACATATAAAGTGGTTGGATCTTCCTCTAGGTGCTATACTTGGAGATCGAGTGGTATTTATAATTTTCAACTAATGTGATTGACAATAGGTCATTAAAACCAACTTGGACTTATATTTGGATTTAAATAAAAAGAGAACAATACATCCAATGTGGAGACTGGTAATGATCAAATTTCGGTAGACACTCAATGAGAACCTAGAATATTGATTTAGAACCAAAGGATGGCCTCAGGACTGAATAATCGTCACACAAAAAACTTTAGTGGAATCTCCACAAAACATCCTTCCTCATTTCTAAAAAAACAAAAATGATAGCGATTGCTGCGGGTGCCTTGGCATTGCCATTTTTTACCTCAACAAGTGCAGTTTCAACGAAAGTTGGCACCACCTTCCATTGCGAAGAAAGGTGAGGAGTCTATGTCGGGTAAAGGAAGAGTCCTAAAAATACCTCCAGAAAGGAACAAGTTAGAACCCGTCCCGAGCAACAAACAACGATATCAAATCTATCAGTTGCTGCGCTGCCAGAACCAGGGTTGTGATAGTACGACTGCTCTTGGACAAGTCCCAACGTTGCGAACACAAATCAGGATGTGCTTCGACTACTGCGCCGTCTTACACGCACATGTATTTGTTGAAGTAGTACACGAAGTAAGACCAAACTTCCCAGCAGAAGCAACGGTATTAGCTAATGAGCGTGATGAGCTCGGTCGTATGATCCCTGAAGACCCAAGGGTGCGAAAACTTACCCTTGAAGTCAACAGACTAGTAGTATGCGAGCAAAAAAGGATAAAGTAGCAATACCACCTGAAGCAATGCAACATTGTAACCAAAAACAAGTAAATTGTAGGCAACGGTTATGTCACTCACGAATCTGGAAGGAATGATGACAGGGCAGCTTTCACATTTAACGACGTAACTGTTACAGACCGGAAAAAGTGCGCGTGTTATTTTAACCGGTAATTCATTGAGCAGCCCGAGAGTGGCAGGGCGAAAAGGAGTGTATTATGTCGCAAAAGGGCACTCCTAGCCTAGGAGGTACCAGCACAATTTTCGAAGGAGGACGTTGCAAATGTTATCAAAAACGATTAGTAATCCAAAGCGTTGGGCCCGGACGGAATATGTATGGTAATGCTTAAGCAACTGGATGAACCCGGATTTGAGTATTTAAATTCAGCCCTCAACTTGTCGTTAACCACCCAGCACCCCTGCCAGCAGATATGAATCGTACAGGCGGATTTCACTCCTGTCGTCAGTAATAGTCAATGGAGAACTGATTCTGATCGCTAACTACGCCAAGATACTGGGAGTAACGTTCGACAGTCTTTTCAAGTCATCTGCATAAGGCACTGCTTTTTGCGATAAGCTGAGAAGTAGGAACAAGGTCCTAAAGTCGCTAGCCGACAGCAGAAACCTTTTTGACCTCTTATAAAGCTATGTGGCGACAGTGTGATTTGCGAAGTGATACGCAGTGGAAGAATGTACAGACCTACCAGAGTGTTGCCCTGATTACTCATGACTACAGTGGACCAACTTCATGAGAAGACTTACCGGTCCCTCGACACAATTATATGTTGTAGATGCAGCGTTTGGCTCAATTCCTATTCGGCAAGAAACAGACAATCAATAGCCCACAACATGTATGTTGTTGCTACAACAACAACTGCTAACGTTCAAATAGACTATTAAACCCTTCCAATCCCATTACTCTCGGTGACAAACGAGAGTCTGAAGAGCAATACAGACCTTCTCGACCTTCCCGACCCTTCTCTAACATGATTCACCATTGACGGTTGACGATGATGATATTTTCTACTGTGGTCGAAACAACGGGGTTTTTTGGTGGTCTATGCTAAGAAAGCACGATTACAGACAAAAAATTCCTTCACATCAAGAGATACCTCAAATTTATTCTGAAATTCTAAATTGATGTTGGAATGACATCTTGATCGAAAGAATTCCGACGTCTCGTGCCAAAAGGGGCATAAGTTAACCCTTCAACGGGGAAGAATACTATGGGTGGTCCAAGAACATTTGGGAAACGCATGTCAGGAATCTCTGTTCAATTTTCACTTAGAGTCCTGGATAAATTTCAAAGAATGGATGTGGCAAACTTCAGACAACAACTGGCAATTAGACTGTGCGATATAAATTATTATAAACATTTACATTAGCCAGAGGTGGATAAACCAATTTCCAGGATAGTTTAACGCTATTCCCTTACATTGATATCCTGTAGTCTGAAGAATGATATGAGTGTTTGGATCACATTATCTTTTTATTTCTTTATCTACACCCAGTCTACAATTTCTATATTATGTACAGCCACACATCTGTTCCGATGATTAAGAAATTTTGAGAAAATTTGATTTTCTTCACAACTCCATATTTTGAAATTTGAATGAAAAGAATTCCTATCTTATTAGTATTTCTCATTCTATTTTATCCAGCTACTTCACTGTATCAATAAACTATACAAATTACCAATTAAAGTCGAACATCTCCAGGAAACGGGAGTGGGAAAAACAGTCAATTCGCTGAGGAAATTCAATGGAGAAATTGGTGTGGCAGCAAAAACCTTGGTAACAAAATGGAAAGCTATGGTGGCAGCCGAAGAAGAACCCATGGACACAACATCCCAAACATATGAAAATGATACGCAACACCATAATGACAACGATGAGCCGGATCCATCGCCAAATGATAATATGCATATAGATGAGGATGAAAATCGTAATAGTCACAGTGGCAGTCGACATTCAAATCATTCCGAGAAGGAAAAACACAAAGATAGAAGTCATAGTAGTAGTAGCAGTAGTCATAATAATACACCACACAAGGAATCGTCTAGCAAACATTCATCTTCGAAACACTCAAATGAACACAAGTCATCATCCTCATCATCTTCATCGAAACGGGATAAAGAAAGTCACCACAAAAGCAGTAGTAAAGATAAGGAAAAAGGCGGCGAACACAAGTCCAGAGATAAACACAAGGATAAACATCATGAAAAGGATCGAGAGCACAGTGAGAAGCGTAAAGAAGAAAAACAGAAATCGGATAAAGAAATATCCAATCACAAAGACAGTAGTAGTAAGGAGGAACACAAACACAAATCTTCCTCCAAAGAGAGAGACAGCAGCGAAAAGGAGAAGCACAAAGAACGATCTGAGAAGCATCATAAAAGTTCCTCCAAGGATAAACACAAGGAAAAGGATAAAAACAAAGAAAAGAATAAAGAAGAAAAACAAGCATCGTCATCCTCATCAAAAGACAAACATAAATCATCATCATCGCCATCTAGCACCAAAGACTCAACTCAAGAATGTCGGAAACGACACAATTCCGATACTGAATCGAGTGATTTTAAATCACCACTGCCCAAAATTGCCAAAACATCACATAAAAGCTCGGGCAAATTGGTTGAAAATGGATCTTCACCTCCACAAGATGCCAATGAAGGCGAGGAGGAGGATGGTTTCGATTCAACCATGGGCACGAATTTCGATGATATTTTAGGCATGTTAGATAAACCGGTTAAGAAAAGTAAGAAATCCAATAAAACCTCAACACCCGGCAGCAGTTGTAGTAGTGGTGGTGGTGGCAGTTCCAAAGAATCTCCTCCCAAACCTTCAACAAGTAGTCAAAGGAAAAATGGTTTATCCAGCACACCTGCAGCGTATAGTCCTATGGCGGCAACAACACCCTCAAAATTACCAACGGCGGTGAGTTTACTGAATATAAATTTTTTAGGCAATTTGTGTTTAATTCGATGCTTGTTTTCATATTTTTAGAAACCAGATCTATTGGCTTCGTCGGCAAAATTGGAACCTTTGGATCCCAGCATTGCCTTAGAACTGCCCACAATATCAACAAATTATCGACCAATGCCATTGAATCAAACTGTAATGGATTGTGTGTTTAATACCTCATCAAGTTCATCATCTAGACCTCCTGTGCGCACCATGAGCGATGCCGATGCTTTACAGCATGGCATTTCCTCAAAGACCATAAGGTTTGATTTGAGAATATTTGTTTTGTTGAAATTGTTGTTTCGCTCTATAACTCACTACTTTTTCATATAAATAGAACAAAAATTTATTCTGGTACCAAAACTGGTCAAATATATCAAGTGCCCTCGCTGTTTGATATGTGTATAAGGATTCTGCAAAAGAATATTGATGGTAATTATTATATTTTTTTTTATTGGATTTTGTTTAAAATTTTATTATTTCATTTCTTAGCTTTGGAATACACTGGTGGTGTACCATTTGAAGTTTTGCGTCCAGTATTGGAAAGAGCCACACCCCAACAGCTATTCATATTTGAAGATTACAATCCGTATTTAATGGAGGATAGTGATGTTCTATGGCAGATTCATGTATCGCGTAATTATCGCACACAGAAACGTCTGGAAAATGAATCGTGGAGGGAAATGTTTATGGTAAGTTTTAATAAATATTTATAACAATTAGGTGTCAAATTCTTTGCAAAATCTCCTGTCTTTTGTTCATTCTCATTTAACATATATTCCAATGATTTATGCGCAAGAAATACAATGTCCCTCAGAAGTCTACAAGCTTGTCAAAATAGAGTATTAAAAATAGTTTTTAACCTACCACAGAGATACTGTACATTAAATCTGTTTACAATTGAATATATATGTATTTTAATGTATCAGGGGAATTGAATATAATACAATGCATTTCAGCCCAAATATAATAGTCACGAATACAAAAACTAGGCCTCTACATTTTAAATTTATTTGAAAAATATCCTTAAATCCTACAAACATATGTAAAATATTTTTAAAAGGTCAGTTCAATACTCTTTATTATGCGGCTCCTGGACAAGTGTGATTTCTACGAGTGAGAATGTATGGAGTAATGTGCACCAAATTTAACAGTTGCTAGCTTCTCCGGTGAAAGACGGACTTACCCAAGCCGTATAGCCCCTCTGCTTTTTCCAGTACGGTCCGTTGTAGGCGTTAAAAAAAATATCGTCGTTCTTCATGAATATGAATATTGTCTACGATATGTAGATAATGACCCCAACTAGATCAGCGAGAGGGATTATTTTGGATAACGTCGATACAATCCTCCAGAACACATGTCTGAGTTGCAGCGTCGGCTTACTTCGGTTCCGACTTTTGGGACCCTTGCGTCGAGGCAAAAAATTTGGCCTTTTCGCCTTTTTCCTGTCACTGATTGTTCGGAACGACGCAACCGAAGCAGTTTGCTGCACCGCATCCTCCTCTTCACAGCAATTGGTTGTGTTTTAGTGTTCAAATAGCAGGCGCCGTCCAAAATCGACACAGCTATGGCAAGCATATCTGGTATTTCAGAATGCCTGGCAGAGTAGCGATATCGGTCTGCTTCGGTTCGAACTTCTGGAACCCTTGCGTCGTGATTGAAAATTTGGTTTTTGAGGTTAGATCCATACAGTTGTATACGCTGTGGAAGTCGACACTGCTGTCGCGAGCATATCCGGTCATCTAGAAATCCTAGCTTCTGATACCCTTGCGTCGAGATTAAAGGTTTGGCCTTTCGCCTTCTTCTTGTCATTCATTGCAGGGGTCTTTGTCGACGCAACCAAAACAGATTCCTGCGCTGTAAGTGTATATGACATGTCAACGCCTTCTTCTTGTCACAATCTTTGCAGGGGCTGTTTGCTGTGTGTTTCATGTTTCGTTCTTGGCCTTGTTGACGCAAGGACATCCCCTTTCGAGTTTAACAGTTTATATGGTTTTTGGAATTCCTATAGAAGGCGGTTGCGTCCAATCGCCTTTTCAGAGGCCATTGTACGGGTTCTCCTTCTGGACAACCTAGTCACGACTTCTAACCTTCATTGGTGGATGGTGACAACGATCTGTAGTCATTCAGCTACCCCCCTCGAAGGTCCTATTTAATTACATATTCCTGGTTCCATTTTCGCTGTCGGTCGTACTTAGAATCCTTTCAATCAAGAAGTCATTTGGATAGTTTTTTTAGAACTTCCACATAAATTTGAGGTTACTTTTTAGCTGGAGGAATTCCTGGTCGGCAATCGCAATTCTATCCCGCTCGATGAACCGGTTGCTAAAGTTAACTCCGCGTCTGCAGATCTTTTTGTCGGAGGCTTCCTTGGCATTGACAGATTTCAATATGACGTCAAAGACTTAGTAGCTAAGGTTGAAAAAATTTTGCTGAGGCTACCAAGTATTAACAAGGTTCTGTTCGCATACACTCGGTACCCTGACTGAAAACCGTGAAACACTGATGGAACCATGCTGCCTAACATTCCAGTGCTTGGAAGGTTACTTTAGAAAGGTGGTGATTATAGACAAAGGGATTGCTTATTTAGGGGCGTCGATATTGACATCATAAACACACGTTTTTTTTCATCCGAGACTCCATCAAAACACGCTGACTATCTGCGATGGTAGCATTCAGATTTGTTCCCCGTAGAGAGAATTCAGATTTGCTTTCCTATTCGTAAAAAAAACTAAGCCTAAACTATTTCAAAAAATATTCTTAAAAACTCCACGCCTCAGTTCCAAAAAATATTCTTAAAAAATCCACGTCTCAGTTCCAAAAAATATTCTTAAAAACTCCACGCCTCAGTTCCAAAAAATATTCTTAAAAAATCCATGTCTATAACCCAAAAATATTTTTTTTACAGCGTTGCCAAGAAGAAGAGGAAAGACGTTTAAGTTTTCTCAAGGATAGCATTAAGGCATCACAAAAAATTGCCGCCGCTCCTGTGCGAAAAACACAATTGGCATTTGTTGACTCAATGGTTAAGCCGCCAAGGAATGTTCAACGTAAACAGGAACAATATGGCACAAAATCAAAAATGGTTGCAACACCGGCAGCCCGCGTGGCGGCTCTGCAAAGTGTTACGCCCAATGCAGCTAAGACCGGAGACCAACGTTTAAAAGTTCCATCAACGGTTAGGGATCATGCTCAAGTTTGTAAGTATTTTAAAGAAAACAAAAATTTGTAAACTATTTTTTTTATTAACATTGTCCCCAAATTTCTCTCCTACAGCACATTCTTCAGTGCGACCCAAAAAGGCACCGCTAATGCAGAAAACGTTGGCTTTTATGCGCGGACGACTTAAACGCTAAGATTCCATCGTGTTCTTAGCCAAAAAATATATAAATTAATTTCAGACATAGTTATTTAATGAGAATTACTAAATTATTAAACAACAAAAACATAAAAGTGATAGTCCTCTTTTTAGTTGGCTCTTAAACCACAACAACTACTACTACAAAAAATACTTTCAACTCTTCATTGCCTCATTTAGTGTAAACTATTTTCTTTTCTTTTAAGCTTAAAAATAATTATAAGGGTATATTGTTTATATTCTATTTTCTATTCTTTGCATACCTATTTTTTCATTATTTTTTATAGCTTTAGTTTTCTTTTCCAAATGCCTATTCTCATCCTATGTTCTGAAACATACATTAAAATTATTTATTACTATTATTATTTTTTATATTATATTTTATTTCATCCAAACTGAAAATAGTGACCTTAAATGTATCCCACAACAATAAGCACATCACATGCTACATACATACAACAACATATATACGTAATTATAAAGGAAATATAATTAAAAAAAATTGTCTTTAAAAACTTATAATTTTGATAAAATTCAAACCGCATCATCTCAACAAATACCATTAATAGCAGCTCCTTTTGTTATACCATTTTTTTAAATTATATAATTTGTTTAGTTAGCTGTTATCTTTTCTACAGAATTATATAAATGTTTTCAAAATTGCAAACACTTTTTTATTTTATTTCCATGTCCATGTTCCACAACAGAAAAACTGTCGTAAAATCACACAAGAAGAAGTTATGCGTTTAGATTCATAGGTTATGAACATATAGAAAAAAAGTTATAAACATATTTTAAATACAATAAAAAAGAAACAAATAATTACAAAAAGCAACAAATAAAAAATTTATTTTGGGGTGAGATAAAAAAACTGAAACAAAGTCAAACGCCATAATTTTATTATTATTTTAATTTTATTGAATGAAATAAAAAAATTTCGAAAAATTAGGATAAGTTTACATTTGTTCGTATGAAACAGTCACACGCTGCCCGAATGTTGCTCTGCGGTATTTTGACCCATTCCCGGCGAAGCGCTTGCTTGAGGTGATCGACACTTTGGTATTTTCTAGTGCCAACCTTGCTTTCCTATATACTCCAGACACAATAGTCCAACGGATTGGACCGGAGAATTTGGTGGCCATTGTGCGGTGGAAATGAAGCGAGGAACCTCATTTTGTGCTGAGTGCGATGGTGCTGAGTCCTTTTGGAATATCCAAGGTCTGCGGCCAAAATACTTGCGTGCCCAAGACCACCGGTTCACCGGTGGCCAACCGAAGGTTCACATTTTCAGCTGACCTCTTTGGCAAATAAACACGATCATTTTGTTTGCTGGACAACGAATGTTTTCTCATCGGAGAAAACCAAAATCGGCAGTTCACCACTTTAGCCCAATCGAAGCAACTCTTTAGCTCTTTTGAGTCTATTTTATTTCTGTTGCGGTGTAAGTTCATGCACTTTTTGGAATTTCAATGGCTTTATCCCGAGCTCATTTTCAATATTTTCCGAATGGAATATTGCGATATGTTCAGCTCACGAGACATTTTTCGGCCACTGCGTCGCGGTTTTCGACCAAGTCGCTTCTTTACTTTTCGAACCATTTCTGCTGATGCATCTATTCAGTTGTCCGTCCGAGCCTACAAGTCTATGGCCTATAGACTTATAGCTAAAGCCAATAGATGTGGCACAATTTCTCCCGCTACCCTCTTCAAATCCGATTTCGTAATAATTAATTAATATATTTTCCTTCTTCCGTTTTTTTCTTTCAACATTTCCGGGAAAGAACTTTCGTCAACAGTCAACCTGTTACAACAAAAACAACACATGTAAGTTGATAGTTGAGTACACATGTGTCTATCTCGTCGAGTTAACAACCTGAAAATATCCGCCACGAAATTTTCAGCCACATTGTTCACCACATGGACTGCGGAGATGGGAATCGCATTGAATGTGAAGGTCGAGGGGCAAACAATTCCGACCACCAACTACCCCAAAATACTCGGGTTCACATTCGATAGCATATTCAAATCGTCCGCGCAAACCACAGGTATTTGCGATCAGTTGAAAAGTAGGAACAAGGTCCTCAAGTCGCTTATCGCTTTTACAAAGCAATACATCGGTCTGTGGCTAGCTTTGCGGTACCAGTGTGGTCTGCGAATGCTAGTGCTACGCAACGAAGTAATATTCAGACCTATCAGAATGCCGCCATGAGAACTGCAAGAGGGTCCCTCTTCATGACTAGCTAGGCTGTATCAGTGTGGTCTGCGAATGCTAGTGCTACGCAACGGAGAAGTATTTAGACTAGTGTGGTCTGCGAATACTAGTGCTACGCAACGGAGAATATTCACACCTATCAGAACGCCGTCATGAGAACTGCAACAGGGTGCCTCTTCATGGCACCATTTGGACACCTTCATGAGGAAATAAAGATCATTCCTAACGTACCAAGGGTCTCCAAGTGGAAGAAGCTGCTAAATATTGTAGTAATTGATTTTCAAAATTTGTTCTCCATAGAAAACTATCTTCAGTGGGAGCTTCGATTAGCGTGGAGTATCCTCTCGCATATGTCATCAATAATGAGACCCGACGACATGATCATCTACATACAATACTACCTCTATGCCGTCCACTGGTTTTGGAATATCAGAAAGGTAGATATTGAACATTTTCGGAGAACTCCCTGTTTCAATCTAATGGTCTTCAACTTCCTGTTTTGAATTCCGCATACGACGGGCGTATGCACATATATTAGATTGTATAGTTTGAAAAATGACTGGATGTTGTTTGTGTTGCAGCAGCCCTATTTGACCAAGTGGAAACGCCATCTGTTCTCGAAAAGTTTGGGTGGTTGACAGTATCGAATGCCTTCGATTAGGTTCTGGTTCAGTCCTCTACTAATATTGGTGGAAACGACTTGCAGAGCAGTCTTAAGACTGTATATATTACGGAATCCATGATGATTTTTGACTAGTGAAAAATTTTTTATCTATGAGGGAAGTATAGCCTCACGTGTCTTTGCTAATGAGGACAGAAGTGAAATCGGTCTGTACGATGTTACCCTGCTATAATCTTTGCCATTTTTCCTTCGTACCAAAAAGGTACCAAACCTTCTTGGCCGGGTGGGCTCTTATAGGAAGTAATACACTCCTCTCCACCCAATTACTCTTGGAGTGCTGTATAAACTAAATGTTAAAATAACATGCGCACCTCTTCGGAGAGGTGATAGCGCCCTTGTCTATTCTTTCTTGCAGGGAACGAAAGTGACTTAATCGGTGTTCACAATTTACTTGTTTGGATCTATTGCTTCAGATGGTCTAACCACTTTTTTTCTTTTGTGTTCGGATACTATTAACCTCTTAACTTCAAGAGTAAGTTCTCTCACCCTTGGGCATACCTGAGAAATTTATTAGGTTATCATTTCTTAATTAGTTTCCTTTATGCCCACACCTTTGATCCTAAAATAACAGCATTTTAAAATGAAATCCTTAATTATATACTTTATTCTTTCTAAAAAAAATAAATAAAATAATAATTACATCTAGACAATAGCATTTAAAATAAATCTTACACATTGTCATTTTGGGGACAGTCTTATAAAGAGTATCAAAGAAAAGACACGCAAACGAAATATTTTTTTAACAACCTAAACATGAAATACTTTCATTATTGCTGAAAAATATTTTTACCAAACGTTGGCAATTGGTGGGTAGGGCTACAACACGATTCAACGTTGCCGATGATGATGAAGACGATGAACTGCTTTCACTGGAATTAAAAAAATTGATTTTATTTTTTTAAATCGAAATCGAAAAAAATTAAAACAAACCTCATTGCTGATAACTTCTTGACATCCCATATTCTTAGGCTACCATCACGACTAGCCGATGCAATGTAACGGCCATTTGAACTCCATACAATATTTGTAACAGTGGCTGTGTGATCTTTCAGCTCATTCAATTGTGAACCAGCTGCTAAATCAAAAATTCGTATTTTTGATTCCTCACCACCGGCGGCCAACATTTTACCATCTGGACTAAAGATGAGACTACACACGGGTTGTTTACAATCGGAAAAGACACGCATTAATTTGCCACTGGTAACACACCACAGGCGTACTGAAAAATCAGCGGAACCAGTGGCAATATAATTACCATTGGGATGGAATGCCAAACACTGTAATACAAATTATTAAATTACAATAATAAAATCCTTTATTTTTATGTTACCCACCTCAACATCTTGTGTATGCCCAGCATAAGTAATCAAAGGAAATTCCCTTTCCAAGGACCACAGTCGCGCCGTTAAATCCTTTGAACCCGTTGCCACATACATACCCACCGGACTTTCATCCATACACCAAATGGGATAACGATGTCCCCGATAAATTGCCGCCGTTTGAAGATTTTCCGAACCCCAACAACGCATTGTGGTGTCTTTGGAAACACTGTAGATAAGCGGATATTGTTGGGAAAAGCGAACATCGGTTACACCGGCTCCATGGCCCCGCAGGCTAACTCCACCAAATGCATTACTGCAAATAAGAAACATTTTTAATTATAGGCCGTTAAAAAATGTCTTAGGGCTTACTAGGAATTATCTTCATATTTCTTTTCGTAGTATTTTCCCTTTACATATTCCAGTTGCAAGTCTTGACTTGAGTGTAATTCCTTGATGCTCTCTTCCATTTCATCTTCATTTTCTTCACAGAAATTATTTAGATCCCATCGACAGTGTTTCGATAAATTACGCCCATAGAGATTTCTACCTTGTGTAAAGTGTTGATTCATTTGCCATAATTGTATAACGGAATTATCAAAGCCCGCTACCAAATGACATTCCAAAGGATCTAAGTTGGCGGATGTTAAACTGCAAAATAAAGAATAGATTTAAGATTATTTCTATATCGAAAAAGAAGAGGATATTCTCGATGCTCTCTTTGGGCAGAATACATCAATGTTTTCTAAGGACATAAATATTCTATAGAAAAATCTTATTCAGGTTTTTCATCAACAGAAGTTTTCCAAAATGTCTTCTATAGGCAGAGATCCACAATAAGTCTTCTATGGAAAGAAGTAAATCATGAGGAAGGAACAGGCAAATTTTACAGTTATTCTAGGGAAAAAAGACTCGTATAGAATTTCAAATGAAGGATGGAATGAAGGTCTTGTAAAATTTTTTATGGAAAAAGTTCTGCTGGGGGAAGGCTCTATAGAAAGATGATATTATCGACGGAGATCTCCTACAGATGACATATTGGAAAATCTTCTCGAAGTTTCTTACATCGCAGATGATATTCCCGTTGTTTTCTTTAAAAAGAAATATTCAACAGGTCTTCAATAGACAAAAGAAATCATCAAGGCAAGACAATCTGGGGAAATTAAGAAAGGGTTATCTATACGTATGGAAAGAATACTCTTAGATTCCTTAAAAGAGAGAATAAAAGGAAGACCTTGCAAGGCCTCATATGAAAAAATTCCAAAAGGCCTTTAATGAAAACTTTCTTTAGCTGGCTTGTGATAGAACGTTTGATCAATAGGCCGACCAATAGGGTTTTTTTTAAAGATTTCCAAGCGCGTCGGTTTTGTGCGCAGCTCATCCAATTTGAAACACCATGTTCCGATATGTTGTGTTCCACTTGATCTTTCCATCGAATTCGTGATCTTTCCCTCGAATTCGTGATCTTTGGCTCGCTTTTATATGCCATTTGAGCTGGGGCATCCTCATCCATTCTCACAACAAACGTAGCTGTTGCAGCTCGATTCAGTCTGACTATGTCGATGTCCGAGAAAAGATGGTACAGCTCATGGTTCATTCGACAGCAATATTCACCGTCGACGTTGATCGGCGCGTAGATCTTTCGGACATTTTTTCTCTGAAGCCGCCTCATCTGCTTGCGCAAGTACCCAATGCTTCAGATTCATACAACAGCACGCGTCTTGCAGAGTATGAGTTTGGTCTGGCGAGAAGTGGCCTTGTTTTTTGAATTGCTTACTCAGACCATAGTAGCATCTGTTGGTCATGACTATACTCCTCCGATTTCAAAGCTGATGTTATTAGTTTTGCTTTTGGCGGTACCGAAGTACATAAAATCATTCACTACCTCGAAGCTATAGTTTTCAAGTTCCACAGTTGATTCGAGTCTACTGGCCGTCTTGCGCGTTGATACCTCAGCTTGGACTTCACGCCATTTATTGTCATTTTCACTTTGGCAATTCGTTCAAAGATGGCTGTTGCCGCTCGCCTTCAATAGAAACACGATCTGCCAAACGTTGTCTATGAAGAAAGGATCCCTAGAAATCTTCAATGGAAGGCCTCCTTGAGATGGAATGACAAAAAAAAAAAATGGAAAAAATGTCTTCTACAAGTCTTCTATAAAAAAAAAGTTCTTCTAGATGACATTTATAAAAAAAGTAAATTTTCTTGAGTTTGTCTATAAAAACTTTCAAGGGAGACCTTGTGACATTGTATGGAAAAAAGTTCTCCTCCTTCTATAAAAAAAAAGTTCTTCTAGATGACATTTATAAAAAAAGTAAATTTTCTTGAGTTTGTCTATAAAAACTTTCAAGGGAGACCTTGTGACATTGTATGGAAAAAAGTTCTCCTCAATGTCTTTTACAAAAAAATAAGACATCCTTGAGTTCTTCTATTAAGAGCTGGATGTATTCTACAGATAAAATACCTTCTTGGGGAAATAGATTACCTTCTTAAGAGACATAGAAGACAGATTTTTGTAGAGGTCTTTTATATGAACACAAGTGATTCTAAGGAAAAAAATAACTTAGAGGCCCTCAATGTTAGGCATTGTCTAGAAGGACTGCTAGAGATCTTCAACAGAAACAAGACCTACAGAATATTCCCTAGGATATAACCTTTCCTTGAGGTATTCTGTGGGAAAAAGTTCTTCTAGAGGTCTTTTATGAAAATAAGACATTCTTGAATTCTACTATGGAAACACCTTCTTCGGAGGCTTAGGGGTTTTCTATAGAAAAAGGTTCTCCCGGAGGTCTTTCATTAAAATAAGACCTCTTTAGAACGAAGACCTCCTTGGGAAGTAATACTTTCTTTATTTGGTCAATGAAAACAATATCTACTTGAATGACTTTTATAGAAATATATTTTCATTTACTCTTGGATGTCTCCTATTATCCTAGATGTCTTCAATGTAAACAGGATCTGCTAGGCATTGTCTGTGACAATATTTATATGATCTTCAAAGTTAATGTACCTGTCAATAGTTAAACTCAGACATTTTATACTGTCAACAAATTCGATATCAATGTGATCAAATTTGAAATTGTTCGCCATTTCTTAATGCAAATTTCATTGTCCTCTACTTACCCCTGATTTTTATCGGCAATCTTAACAACACGTGGATATTCTAAAGGATTTTTAAATATTTGTTCACGACATTCTTTGAGGGATTTCAGACAATCCTTAACATTGTAACCACTAACTTTGCCCTCGTTTGCATCCATCTCTGTTTTAATTTGTACCTCCGCCGGTTCCTCAGCTGAACGTTTATTCGAACTTCTTTCACTGCTGGAAGAATGAGATTTCGATTTAACCACTGGCACTTCATTATCCTCATCATCATCCTGAGGCGGCAATTCATCTGCTGGCATAAATATTGTATCTTCGGATAGTTGACGCACTTCATTATCTATTATGTGAATGTGTATCCATGTGTAAATGAGATTTAATATTAAAACATGACCACGTTTTTCCAAAAATGTTTTCAAAGCATTCACAACCGATTCATTGGTGTGTATTTCATATTTCGATGATCTATATTGGGCTACTTCGGGATCTTGTTCCAATGTTTCAAGTTTCTGGCAGGCCGATAGTTTTTGTATCAATTTCATAAAGAATTCCAATTCAGGATCATCTTCGGCAAAGGATTCTCGAGTATAGCGTATATTTAAATGTTGCCAGGCTGAATCGGACATATTCAAATCGGCCGAGGGTACGGAGCAACCATTTATTTTGGTTGGAAAGGGTGCTTCGTAGGTGTCCACAGCTGCCAGTAAATGTGAATATTTACGTAAAAAATCTACAGCAGCTTTGGTTTCACGGCCTTTGATTAGTTCCAAATATAAGTGGCACAACATTGGACCATAGAAACGTTTCAGCTCCGAGCGTATTTCTTCCGGCTGGGATTCCACAAATTGTGAATATCTATAAAAAAAACATTCTCGTTAACACATTTCGCTTCTGAAAGGGTTAGTTTTCGCTTAACGTACTTGGCAAATTGTTGATCCACCATGTTGTAGTTGTTGGTCAAACACAAAACATTGGAGTAGACAAACGAGTTGCCGCCATGCAAATCGGCATCAATCATTTTTTGTAGAACGAAGTTTTTCTTGTTCTGCAGCAAGGCAAAATCGGATTTGCGAAACTTATCCGAACCCTAGTAGTGGTGGGAAAACAAAATGTTAATTTTTTTTGGAAACTTATTTCGTTCTTTCAGACTTCTTACCACAAAACATTTTTGCTTGAGATAGAGGCGACCCACTGCCGCCCTTAGCACATCTGTTTTAGATTTCTTCGATTTGTTGCCACTACAGAGTGGACTGGACGCATGATGATTACTCTGAACACTCATTTATAAGTTTTTTGTTTATAAAATCCACAATTTGTTTAAAAGAAATCCGACACTGATTATCCTCTTCCTACCGTTTGTTTTGATCAATTTTGTTGTTTGCCACCAGGGTTGGTTAAAATTGGTTGGATGATATATTGGTTATATTGCCAGATTGAATGGAATTTTGTTGGGCCTAAATACAGTTCTTATTGTACTGTACACATCATCCGATTTTTTTAATTTGCGATAGAAATTGCCATATTTAAGATATAGCTCTGAAATTTTGCACAGACATTTCTAGTACTCCTAGGATGTTTGGTATTGCAAGTGGGATATATCGGTCCACGTTTTGGTGTAGTCCTCATAGAGTGGTACAACTCAAGATTCGGTTTTAGGGATTTTGAATACGTTTTTCTAATTGGTTGCAATTTGGAATTTTGGATTCTCATAGAATGACACATATCCCTACCAAAAATTATTAATATTGATCCAAGTTTCAGGGTATCGCCCATGTAAGAGTATCCCCCCAATCATGGTACAATTATGAAAGGTAACAGCAAATCCCAGCTGATTTGATTCCAACGTAATACTAGTGTCAATATGAATTTGACAAATTATGTTTCAATAATTCACCCAGCAGGAAAATTGGGAACCCATACAATTTGAAATTGTTCTTTATTAATGTGCTCCCGTATTCAATTTACTCAATCTGCCTGCTGGGAAAGTTTGAGGAAGCAAATCTTTCTTGAAGGAATAACTCGCTATTCCCAGCATTCTCATATGTGTTACACATATATATGGCAATGGCTCAATTGAAGGAAAGATGTGGAAGCGATAGAAATATAAATTTAATAGATTTTCATTCATGTTTTTCAATTTTTATTTTGAGGATTCGAAAATATTCCATTTTCTAAATAAAAATAATTTGATGATAATTTGTTTGTTTGTTTACATTTTTCTGTCAAATGAGTTGACACTAGTAGAACTTACAACAACAAATTTCCATGTGGTTGTTGTATCATTTTTTGTACAACAACACTTGCTGTTACCTTTTATTATTATACCATGCCCCCCAATAGTCATTATTTTGGGGATTTTTGGCTTACATGGAATAACAATACCCGTACTGAAAATTATTAATATTGATCCGCGATTAAAGGTAGCCCCCTTAAAATGGTACTCCCACCAATATGGGCATTTTTGACACGTTTTCAATCAAATTGGCTGTAATTTAGCATTTTGGGTTCTCATAAAGGTAGCACCATATCTCCGTTCTAAGAATTTTTATTATTATTGACTCAAGTCGTCATTTACTTTTTTTGTCATTGGCTGTTGAATCTCACTGCCAAAAATATCAATAGTGAGCTTCGTTTTATTAACCCTTTGAGCCCCGAATTTTTTTCCGTAATCATAGAACAATTTTCTATTCACAGATTTAATGCAACTATCCTAGATAAGATATGGACAAAATTTGGCATCGCTATATCCTTGCATTCGGGAGATACAGTACATTCTTTCTTTCGGGCAAGACATGTTAAGTTGGCATTGTTTAATGTAAGAGAATAAAAGAGGAAGGAATCTAGAATTAAATTTGACTCTGATATTCCTGTATAATCTGACATTTCATACAATGCCAACTTAACATGCCATGCTTGAATTCTCGTATGTGTTTCCCCCATTTATATTTGCAGTAATCTACGGAGTAGGAAGCTCATGTAATCGCTGGCCGAATGTAATCGATACACAGTTGCGGTGTATTGTAACCTGTCAAAATGTGGCCCTGAGAACTGAGAAGAGAAACCGGCATTAATCATCAACGGCATCGTACTATTTTGAGCATAAGTGATCTACACAATAGTAAAATAGAGAAACTATAAGTTATCCGGCCTATTGAACAGAAACGAATCCCATGCACTCGGGAGCACTGACCCAATCTATTAATTAATATCATAGCAGCAGGAGAACGACAGCTACCTTAGCCAACGAGAGTATCCGAAGAAGTGGGCCGATGTATTCCATATTCGATCTTTATTCTTTAAGTTGGTAAAAAAAACGACGATGTACATAGTTTGGGCCAAATCGGACGTTCTATTCTGTTAATATTAGATTTAATTTAATATTACTATATGTAAAATTTGGGTCAAATCTGACATTATATTCGCTTAATATTGCATTTATAAAAATTGGAAATTTGAATGCATGGTTAAAATCCTGTGTTGTGTAAAGATTAGTTCAAATCGGATAGTCCATTCCCTCATTTAACCATTTTGTGTGAGAGTTACCAGAAGTAATGGACCGGTGGGTTTCCAAATTGTGTGAAATGGATTTGGTCAAAAGAACAATCGTGTCTATAACCATTATTTTAATAAGGGACCTTTTTCAAGTTTTCATAAAAAGAATATGATGTGGGAAATAGATTTCACACTTACATATACGCAATTCACAGAAAACTTCTTATGATCGCATTTAGAACAGCCTAAGGAGAGCTTCGGAAAAAAAATTTCGGAATAGCTTGTTCCAATCAAAAAAGTAGGAACAAGGTCCTTATAAAAACCATTTTCGAGATACAGTCAAAAAATGGGTTTTGGAACCCAATTTTTATGAAAAACTCCTTAAAAGTCGAACTTGGTTCCATTATGGTCAATCTCCAATCCTGACTCAAATGATAGACCACAAATTGCCCTTTCCAAAATGTGACTGTATCTATTGTGGATCAAAAGATATGGGCCTTAGAACCCTACAAAAAGAAGGAAATTCTGTTGCGTAACCGGTGTTGGTATCTGTCCATAGGATAAAGTTTTAAATCCCCGGCCGAAGGCCCGCTACCCACAAAGCTATTCTATTTAAAAGCTTTAAAATTATACCCATATTATATTAACCGGATCCCATGGTATAATAATAGAAGGTAACAGCAAGTGTTGTTGTACAAAAAACGATACAACAACCACATGGAAATTTGTTTTTGTAAGTTCTACTAGTGTCAACTCATTTGACAGAAAAATGTAAATAAACAAACAAATTATCATCAAATTATTATTTTTTTGAAAATGAAATATTTTCGAATCCTCAAAATAAAAATTGAAAAACATGAATGAAAATCTATCAAATTTATATTTCTATCTATTCCACATCTTTCCTATAATTGAGCCATTGCCATATATATGTGTAACACATATGAAAATGCTGGGAATAGCGGGTTATTCCTTGAAGAAAGATTTGCTTCCTCAAACTTTCCCAGCAGGCAGATTGAGTAAATTGAATACAGGAGCACATTTAATAAAGAACAATTTTAAATTGTATGCGTTCCCAATTTTCCTGTTGGGTGATTTTTAAAAACATAATTTGTCAAATTCATATTGACACTAGTATAACGTTGGAATCAAATCAGCTGGGATTTGCTGTTACCTTTTATAATTGTACCATGACCGGATCCGTAGAACGGGTACCGGTACCCTAACTTGCGGGTCAAATAACCGAGTAACCGGGTACGTTCCCCAAGAAAAAAAGATGTAGATTCCCATAATTAGGGCAAAAATACCAATCTCTAAAAATTTTTCGGGAAAATCAGATCGTTTTTACTTAACTAGAGTTAAGCTAAAAATACAATCAAAATGTATTTAGTAGAAATTGGTCTGTTCCCGTACTGCAAGAATCTACTCAAGTTTACTATTTTCTTCGATATCATAAAGGAAAAAAGTGTTATCGGAGTGAAAATAGTAGATTCTTGTAGTACGGGAACAGACCAAATATTAGTACTCAAAGGGTTACTGTACTGTACCAATTTCATAATAAATAATTTCTTTCAGTGTATAACCTTAGTTAAAAAATATGGCATCCCCTGTACATGTATTTATTTTTTCTCGTACGGAATTTTACAACCATGCAAGACAGCTGTTTGTGTTGTTACCATTTTCTTTTAGTTTGTTGATAAATTTCATAGCGGTCAGATAGGTTCCAACGGGCTGACGGAACCTCGAACACGATATTACTCCACAAAAAATATTTTGCGAAAGTATAAAATAGTTAAACGGACGGAATACCTGCGGATATAAACACATCTTCGGAACAATGCCCTACGATAAATATTTAAACGAATTCTGTGATATTATCGATACCTATGGCGGTCGTGATAAGGTAATGCTAAAAACGAAAAAGTTCAATCACTGGCTAATCTAAATAACCATTGTAGACATAGGAAGATTATAACGATTGTGGATTTGTTGTTACCAGCCCACCTCCAAGTCCGACGCAATCATCAAATCGTTAATTCACTTTCGTTTGTCGATTTCGATTGCCGCCATTCGTTCATTGGGTTGGTTCGTTCGTTGCCATTGTCAACAAACATAGAAAATCAATTAGATTTAATTGATTCCGGCAAAAAGTAATTGCAAAAAAAGTTTGTCGGAGGAGAAGAGTTGGATGATGTTGTTGGTCATTTATTTCAAAAATTGAATTGTGTGGTTATTGTTGTTCGCGTGTGTTTACATGGAACGAGCGGCGCAACGCGGCATAGCAGTTGGTTGTTACTTACGTTCCGTCAGTTCGTCATCTCGGTAAACTGCATTGTTGGCAATGTCAGTGGTTCGCGTTTCCCAGTCAATCGTCTTTTATTTTAATAGAAGTTGTTAAACTAGTCTCCACCTTTTTTCTGGTTCCCCCCATTCTCCAATATTGACTTAGTGACTTGAATGCCACATATGAAAGAAAACAACAGGTTTTCTTTATTATGAAGCGGTGTGCTGTATATTGTTGTTGTTATATTTACGTGAAAACGATCGTATTGCATTGGGTAGGCTATCTGATTATCGTTTGACATTGTTGTGATATTGTTCACGATCATGATGAGGGAGTACATACAACGAAGTGGTTTATGACCAAAATGAAAAAACAACTATCTGAGTGAATTAGAACACACATTTTGTTTTGTATTTTGGACCTTGGATTCCCCATTTCTCCAAATGTAAAGAAATGGTAATTACTCCCTTATTTTTTTACTAAACTCAAAACGTTTGAAATATATA